TATCTGATATTTGAGATAATGACAGCATTCAGAGAGCACTCACCCCCATCGCCAGCTGCTTCCCACCCACAGACTACAGAGAAAACATAGGGAGGAGGATGCCCACGGAATCAAATCACTTGGATGCTGTAACACTAAATTGCAAAACACAACATTACCGAGTGTTGAAAGGAAAAATATTGTCTTTGTCATTTAATTTGAATGTTTTTTCGACCTGATATTGATTTTAAGTTAGTTGATATATCTATTTGATTGATATTGTTGTTCATTTCTGCAATCTAACTGCAGTTTCCCTGTGCTTGCTAATCCTCAGCCACAAACTCAACAGTCCGTTCCGCAGAGAAAATTAAAGCCTGTCCTCCAGCAAACAACCGCCTATAAATAACAAAGGCAGGACCCTCCTTTGGATGAGCCTTCAGCAGCTTAACCTGCCTGGGAAACACAGAGAGGCACTTCTGTTGTTTGTCATTTCAATTATGACACTTCCTGAAGCCGCTTCACGCTGGTTGCCATCGTTCATTTACATCGAACAGAAAAAACTCCTCGAAAGGTTGAAGTTAGTTTTGATGATCAATGTGGGGGGGGGGGGGGGGCAAAAGAAGGGTCGTTGCTGTTTATGCCTTTTAACCACTATAATGGATCCTCGGAATGAATTTGCAGCTCAATGGCACATGCAGTAAATATGTGTGTTAAATATTCATCAGCCGTTTGTTCCATCTGTGTGTCAGTGTGTTTCTTTTTCCTATTATCAGCATCCAAGGACTCGCTGCATCCAATTACATTTTCTAATAAACAGTGAAAAGATTCTCCTCCTCACAATGCATCCTGCTGTTTGTGTACATGGATAATGTGGCCACCGTTTGCTTATTAGAGGATGTATACTGTGTTTCTGAAACAAATTAAATATTGACTGTGATGTTCACATTGTCTCTGTAGATGCCTTTAAAAGCAACTTTCGTCTATTCAGTCTGGGCTTCCCTACTTTTCCAAATGTTCCGATTCATTGTCTGTTTTTTGTAGTTGTTTATTCTGAACAGTTGTTCTTTCTGAGCCACTCGGTGACGTTATTCTGTGAGACGTGTTTTATAAAGTTAACGTTCTACTGTTTGCATCGCTGTGGGACAAAAGGTCATAGGTCAAGTAGCAGCTTCTGTTTTGTCCATTTCAATAATTTCAGAAAAAATGAATAAATATTATTTCTGATGATCAAAAGAAATCTGTTATTTCTTTAAATTGTAAATCCAAATTCTGTAGCTGAAGTTTATTTCAGATTTAGATTTTGCACTTCTCTTTTTTTTTTTACGACAAGTAGAAAAACAATTTTATCACATTGCATTTGAGTGATTTTCCACAGTGTTTTTCTTGCGGGTGACTCATTGCTCGTCATGAAGTGTTGTGTTGTAAATACTTTACGACCACTTCGCGATGACTGGCCTCCAGGAAATCTCTCTGCCAGGCTGTCGTTCACCTATAAATAGCTCCAACACGCAACTACTCGTAAACCACAGACTGTCGTTTTTACATTTCTGTTTGTGTGTCGACTAAATAACCACTGCACGTTGATTTGTGAGCTTTAGAGGTGCTGTCAGGTGTATTGCTGAACGTGGGACAGAGTCACACTAGCTGTTCCCTCCCTCCCGGTTCCTATAATCAATCAAATCTCCTCTTCTCTCCAGCTGATTCCCACAAAATGTCAAACTCTTCCTTAAATGTCGACCAATTAACCTTGTCCTTGAGTTATGACACTGACCGTATGTTTTAATAATAATAATAATCATTTCATCATATATTTATCTTGATCTGTCAGAGATGGGAATCATTATTGACACCACCCCCTATTATAAATCATGTTTCATTTTCTTTAGTTTACGGATTTACTACTGGATTACGCACTGACCCAACTACCATCACATGGACCATTTAAGTTCTGTGTGCTCTAATTTATTGACGTAATAAACTAGAGAGCTGCATAAATTTCATTGGACTTCCCGAGGACAGTAATATGCTGTATCTGCATGCGCTCCTGGATTTATGAGCATCCACAGACATGCCAAAGATCCCATGACCCAATTTAGGATTTGCAAAATATCTGGTCATCCTACTTACATGATATTGAGTGTCAAGGGTGATGGATTTCTTCTCCCAGTTTCACTCTAATCCCACTTCATCCAAAGTAATATTTGTGTCATGACTTCGACCACCGTAAATGTCCAGACCCATATTCCACGTGATTATGGATTTTTCATTTGCATATTGGATTCATTGGGTTGATACTGTACGTTATCCCTTTCAACTCAAATGGCCTGACACAAGGACAACTTGAACTATTTCAGTATAATCTGTCCCTCGCAATCTGCCGCTGCCTCTACGGCTTTCTCTTATATGCTTTGGAGCTTTTTCCCATGTTTTGCTGTTCTCGACAATCGGCACTGAAGAACATACTTAAATCCACAATCGAACACTGCTCTTATTTAAGAAGAAGTTACTTTACTAGCTGTCAGACTGACCCAGGGGACTGGAGCATCGATGTGATGAATGATTCACAGTATATCCAGGAAGGACACACATTTATTTAAAATATCTCAGTTATTTCCTGACTGTTCAACATTATCATCAAAGAACTTCAAAAGTACTTTGCTTTTTGTGTTTACACTGTAACGTGATGTTTAATGTCCCACAGGGGACTGGGACATCAAATTAAAGGACTGTTCAGCATATCCAGGAATGACTCGGTTATCTTAGATATTTCTTTGATAAAAAACCTAAAGAGATGTTAAAAGATCAACATCTTAAACCCCACATATCTTTGCTTGGTGATGTGTTTACAGTGTGTAGGAAATGTGATGTGCTTTCATCAAATCAAGTGTCTGCATGTTTCTTCTAACCCAGCTATGATCCAGAGACAGTGGTAATAGCAGTAAGTAAAGTTTAGTTTGACTCTAGGATCCCATTTTAATAAGAGTTTGTTTAGTTCTTTTTTTCCATACGTTAGAACGATAATGAACTTATCAAATAATTTAATAAAAAAAACAAAAAGAGCACATAAATGTGTGAGGGCGTGTCCTTAAGTTTTTTAAAAATAAATTCAGGAATATAACACAGCATCTTTCCAAAACAATCCTTTTCTGAGAAAACTCAAGGCCTCAGTATTTTCACCACGATAAATAAAATGATTGAGTCGGAGGAAGAGATTAGGATTTTATTCTAATGTTTGGAAGGCAAATAGCCGCCCATAGGATTTTCTGCTGCACTTCTTAATACTTGTCTTTTCTCTTTTTTTTTTTTTTTTATCAGTTTATAAGATTGGTCGTCCTTCTGCTCCTCAGCTGTGACTGTACAGCACTCACTATGTCTACAAACTATTTACAGTCTCTTTTGGAGTCAGAACCACGCACACTTCCATTCTGGCAGATGCTTCTTTGGTTTACGTGAAGAGGGTGATAGAAACCTTGTGATGAAAAACTAAACAAATTGAAAACATGCTGAACACTTTGAGAGGACGATGCAGACAGACATCATCGATGGAGACGAGCAAAGAGAGATATATTGACGAGGTTTCTCTCCTCTCGTCTCCTTAACGCTGCTCGCCCTCCTTTGGCGTCTCCTCTCGCTGCTTTTATTTAATTTCGCTCTCCCACACTGGTGCCAACGCGCTGCCATGATGGCCGTTAAGATGTTATGGTTTCCAATAACTTCTTTATAGAGTTTGGGCTTCTGAGGCCCATTTGCGAAACGAACTGATGAGGCATCAGCGAGGTGTGAGAAGTGAACAGTCATCATGTTAACTCTGAGAGGTTGGAACTTCACGGAATGGGTCGATCAATTCACAATCGTACAACGGGGGAGGGGAAGTGGAATTAACATAACAAAAAAATGCAAATGTGTGAGCTTGTGGAAAAATGTAAAAAGAAATCTGGTGTTTCTTAAAGTTGCTCTCCATGTTGTGAAACACTCATCCATCACACTATGTTTGAGAAGAAAGTCAGAATTACAAGCATATGTTTTTTTGGGGGTCTTTAGTCGGACGCGTGACTAAGATGAATGGATGTTTCAATCCTCTGACAGGTTCATACTTCAACTCCAACAAATCACAATTAGTGATCCCACTTTCCAGTCAGAAGATACCGTCAAGTGTTCAAGACGTTGCTAATAGCTTTTTATGATTGAAAGGAAGAAAAACCAAACAAGGTCTTTGAGGAAATATCAAATATGTTTCTCCTCCTCTCAACATGTGAGGGGTCTTGCAGACTGAGCAGCAGCAGGGGAGTAGATGGAAGGAATAAACAAACCGGAGCTGGAAACAGTTTAAGTCACAGAAAGTGTTTTGTTAGCTTTGGCACTGGTGACCATCACACCAGCATCTAAACTACCTGACGTGACATTTGTAAAAAGGTTTTTAAACTGTTGTTAGTGCTGCAGCCGCCAAACTTTTCAGCTATGTAGTGTTTATACTGATATTAGCAGTGGCAGCGCTTTTAACTGGTTAATACTGGTTTAAAAATTCTATTTAATGTAGGATTTTATACCTGGACCTATTGAAGTATGTCTGCTTCTTTATAACAAGTTGAATCCACTACAGATGAATGTAGTTGGCAGCATGTGCACGTCCCGTTAATGAGGACACAAGTAGGTCACTTCATCAACATTATAATTTTCACTCAGGGACGATGTTGCACCTTATGTCAGTTGTTTTCCTCATCATGGCTCTAATTAGCCAATTACTGAGTCCAACGCAGCGATTGTTGACTCACTGTTTATTAAAGTTTTTAGAAGTTGAAGATTTTTTTCCCCAGGTTTTATGATTTTGAAAGAAAAGATTAAGTGTTTGACAACATGAAGCGTAAATTACTACAATTTGTGCCGCACAGTCGATCAATATCTGGTGTTGTGCTCATGCAGCATGTGGGAGATTTGTGTTTGTGTATTTGCAAAAGTAAATATCTAAGCTCCTGCTCTTGTTGTGTAGTCAAAAGTGTTATTTCAAGAGATCAGAATCTCACCTCAGACCGTAGAGCACGGTCCCGTCCGGGTGCAGTCGGATCATTCTATTTTTCACCGTGACACCGTGGACAAACGATTTCTTGTCGTTGAGGAAGTAGGTGTCGGGGACCCAGAGCTGGTCGGCCACCCGGTTATCTAAGGTCAGATTGAGGGGGATCTCGGAGTAGGACAGCCGCTTGTCTCGCCAGGCCTGCTGGAAGTACATCGTCAAAGTGTAGTCCTGGAAAGTGCACAGAGGGAGCAAAAGAGGACACAGAGGAGACGGGGGAAGAAGAAAGGAGGCCGATCAAGTGGGAGGACGGCAGGTTGGAGGGGGAGGAAGAGAGAGGGACGAAAGATGGGGAGGAAAGAAAAAAGAGAAAATGGACAGTTAAAAAAAAGCAACCATTTTACACAGCTGCTCTGTGATATGTTTCCACTGCTCGCTCTCAAATTAGACCAGACTGGGCTTCAATATTGGATGAAGTTCACTTAAAAGCAAACAGAACAGTAGCAGCACAGGTCAGAAAAACTCCCGGTACACGGCAATGGGGAATTCCTTCTGTTCATGGAAACATGAGGTTTAGCCAGACAGTGTGAAAGAGTGTGTATGTGTCAGAGGGGACGAGACGGAGAGACAGATGGTTAGGATTTGGTGTGTGTTTGTGTGTGTGTGTCAGTTTGTGTCTGTTCATATACGATAAAGGGGCTGGAGCATATGTGCGCGGCCTGCTTGGTTGGTTTCTGTGTGTTTTTGTGCATGTGTGACACTCGTGCAAACACACAGAGGGGAGAGGAACAGAGCAAGAGACACCACATGTTTCAGACAAATTAAAATAACCTCCGAGCAACATCGAGAATCTGTTTCACAAACCATCCTCTATATGCTCTATTTGCTTTGACAGTAGCTGTCTTTCCGGGATCAAGCACTGTTTGTGAAATGAGCTGCACTTGCATGACACATTCACCCATTGTCTTCTGTTTGTTCCCTCCAGAACTAGAACGGTAAACCCAGCTCTCACTTCACATCAAGTTCCCCACAGACAGCACAGCTGCCTTTGAGGGACTGGATAAGTCTGCTTTACATTACAGAGGCAGACATCAAAGTGTCCCGGACGTTACGTGCATGTTACTTTAAAATGAGAGAAATATATATATATATATATATATATTATATGCTCATGGTACAAAGTTGTTGGTACTTTGTGAATGGTCTCAGGCATGTGTATCCTATTTCATGCTCCACAAGCAAGAGATTGTGATGTGCAGGTTGGTAAATTTGTGTTTGCAGTTGAAAGTAATTTTGCTGATGAGCAGTTGGTGGCGGTAATGTGCCGAGCAATATGACAGAGAAAAGGCAAAACAGCTAACTTTCAAATGCTAATATGTAAAATATAATATAAACGATGTAGGTTTCTGAGTATTCAAGAAATCTGTGTTGTAGATGTTTTTTTCGAGAGATCGAAATGCATTCGTCAAAACTTAAGAATACACTGAATTTAAAATACGCGACAAAAAACCCCATACATATAACTGATATATAGTTCAGTTGTTTAGGTCAGTAAATTCACTCTAATCTTAAAATTGAATTCAGAGAAGGAAAAGAGCCATCCTGTAAAGCCCCATGAATATATACAAATCCAACAGGTTTATACTTATTATTATCTCTTTAACAAAATGTGTTTGTGTAGAATTTGTTTCTTTATTTAATTGCCATCTTTAATATTACTATCATGATTTATTTGTTATGTTTGTTTGTCCCTCATCTCTTGTATTCTGTTTTTGTTAGCATGTCCATACTATCTGTGTGTTTATTAATTGGTGAATAAAGGTTAAAAATAAGAAATTGAATCAAAATCATTTCCATCATTGACTGTAACTACGTTCAGGATAGGACACACACGTTGCTTTTTTTTGTTATTGTTATGATTCATGCGCACACAGTGGGTAAATAATGTATAAAAATTCCCAGATGATAAATCTGGGACATCATAAAACAGTCAAGCCAGCAGTACGATGCTCATGTAGCTCACTGATGTAAGAAGTCTACCAATCATCCATGAAAAACTAAGTTAAATAAACTTGCTGTCTCAGGGAACTTTTTGTCATGACTGGCACATCCACTTCCTGGCAAAGGCTGAACATGCATTTTTGAATATGCCCGTCGGCTACAGATCTGACATCGCACAGCACCTTGGGAACCGGAGGCTCGGATATTGACTGGATGGAGTCGGGGAAACGGGAGCAGCTCTTCTCAGTGAAATCCTTGTTTGACTTAAATAGGTTTTGTCACATTGTTGTTGTTTGTATCTTATTTGGCACAGGGTGCTGACAACCAAGAGTTTGAGAATCAAGTTTTTCAAAGACATAAATAGTATAGTGGCAATTCTGAAACTCAGCGCTATAATTGGACTTGGAATGGGAAAAGAATGATCTGAGTAAAATCCAGGGTCAAACACAGTCTGGGATTTTTGTGCAACTTTCATTTTGACAGCCTTGAAAACATCGGAATGGCTTATTTAGGAGGGTTTGAGGGGAAACTTTTGGAGAGGCTTAATTAGATATTGGAGAATAAGAAATGAGGCGCCAGGTCCCAGCGTAAAAAAGCTAAAATATCTGTGTTGACTTTTAAGTCGCTTTCTCTCTCGTTTTTAGCGAACTCATCATATAATTGTTAGATCTCGGTGGCTTGACACTTGCACCGATGATTTCTTGCACGTGCTTCCCCAACACTTCTGTCCCTGGTCTGTGGTTATGTAAGCGCTCGCACTCACCACTGCACGTGTGACTGAAGAGATGCTTGTTGCCATGCCGTCCTCCGAAACTATCTGCTCTGCACTCATCGTTTCACACGTGCACACATACTCACACACTGTATTTACTCTATTTGTAAGACATTTGAACATTGAAGGTGACGATAAAAACACATCACATACCTCAAGAAATGCACGAGATATCTTAACAGAACAAATAGCATCTGGAAACGTGGGCTACGTGTTTTAATGTTACTTGTGTGATCACAGCCACAATCCTTTTGCAACATGTAACAGCAGAGATGAATTAAAACACAGTACTTCACTTGAAGTTCTGGCAATCATCATCAGAAAGCAACATTTGTTAGAGTCATCAGCAACGGTGCAAACGCACGAGTCTCCCAAGGACAGCGGGTGTGTTTTTTAATTTGAAATACTCTTTAGCTGTGAAAAGTAAAACAAACAAAAAAGACAACCGAGTTATTTAACTGAGTGAATGTTTCTATTGTCGTCCCTGAGAGCCAGTTATTGCTCGCCCATTTGATGCAGTGGTTTTGCGTTGGTTCCACTGTGGCTAGTTTACTGTGAACTTAAAGCTCTCCTTAAAGACATCTATAGTGGACATCTCTCTTTATCTCTCTGTGGGTGGAGGGTGTTGTAAATCACCAGAATAGCTGCAGCAGCTGTGTGCATGGAAGTACAAGGGAGGCTGTCATAACAACGGTCATAATGAGTATCAGCACATAAACGAAATGTTGGAGAAAGAGAGAAAGGAAACAAGAAAGAGAGGGATGCAGGAGAATAATGCTCAGTGCTCTGTGCTGCCAAGCTGCCAAAGAGACACTCACAACAGAACGTGAGAATCCATTTTGACTATCAAGTGATGTCCAGCAGCTCCACGGCACATTTCCTTCTGTGTTCCCTCAATTTTGAAGATTTAGTGCTTTGTTTTTTACAGATCATGTCGAGGGAATGATCACTAACTAATCTGGAGGATGTAAAAGAACCATTTCACAACCCGCTGCCAGGACCTGATAAAAAAGAATCACAATTTCTCCCTTCTTATTCATCATGGGGAGGAATCTGCTCATAACAGCTGCAGACAAGGAATCCAGAGGCCTGGCACCAGAGAACGGCTCCCACTAACCTTTAGAGAGGCTTAATGGATGACCAGAGCCTAACCACTACAAAGATCCTGAGGGAACTCGATGACTTGGGAACGGGAGCAAGAAGGAGGTTCAAACCAATAAAGTCTGGAAGCATGATGATTAGAAATGGCTGAGCAGCCAAGTCCAGCTGGATTTTATAACATCAATTGAGGAAAAACCCAATAAAACGTATCAGGGAGTGATGTGATGGCTCTCTAACGGAGAGAAGCGATGGTCAGAGAGAAAGGTAGAAGAATGTAATAGAGGGATCAGGTACCTGTGACATCAAAAAGTCAAGAGGAAAGTGAGACCTGGAATTCTACCAGGCATCCCGTCAGTAGGGCTCTATCAGGTCTGGACAGTCCAGACCTTTCCTGCCAAAACAACATGGTACTGCAAACTGAATAGAGTATTCCTACTGCAATATTGAGTTGTACTTGCAAATGTAAACTATATTTAGAACTGACTGAAAGTAGTTGTGGTTCAACTCAGGTCCTCTTTGCTGCTGCCTGATTCTGGCATCGTTTTTTTTCTTCTCACAACTTGATGTTTGCCGATAAAATGCCAGCGTTCGTCAGTTTGGCTCTCACACAAGTTCAGCTCTGAGACTCAACCCTCAAGTGTGGATACTTTCCTGAAAAATAAACATAGGATGGCGAAACTAAATGTTTTACAGAGAAGAAAATGTGAAGGGGGGGTTAGCTGATATGCAGTAAAATGTTTTGGATTCAAATTTAAATTATCATGAAAAAACGTAAGGACTGAGCTCCTAACTGAAACCTTCAATTGCTGGTGTACAGTCAACAATGGGTGAGAGCTGACACTCTCATGATCATATTCTGTGAACGACATAATGGCCCTGCTCCACCTGGTATTAACATCTGTCCAGAGAGATCCGATCAATAGCTGGTATTAAAATACATCCTGAATATCTCCTGTGACCTCTGTGCTCTATCAGAGTCTGGGTCTGGTACTGGGGATCTAAAGACTTGTAAAGACTCAACCAGTCATAAATTGTCTGAGCTTGTTGTTGCATTATTTTCTCAGTATAACAGAAAAAAACACACAAAACCAACAAAGGAATCCATCCATTTGATAAACCGCTTATCCTCGGAGGGTCGCAGACGGCTGGCGACAATCCCAGCTGACATTTGGCGACATCACAGGGCCGACATACAGAGAGAGACATTAATTCTCTCTCACATTCACACCTATGGACAATATAGTGTCCAAGTAATCTTTGGAGTGTGTGTGTCTGTGTGTGTGTGTTGTTTTTGGATTAAGCAGGCAAAGTTAACTACAATTACATTTGCCAGGTGGATAAATACATAACCATGAAT